ATAGATAGATAGATAGATAGATAGATAGATAGATAGATAGATAGATAGATAGATATAGCATACTATGTATAGCGCAAATTCCCAGTCAACAGCAAGCTCTATGGGCTTTACAGTCTGTATTATTACCCTAGCAGACCTGATGGCATTCTGAGATAATCTCAACTTCCTGTGAAGCAAACAGAGCAATCTGACTTTTAGTAGCGCTAAATCACTCACATGCTGACACGTTAATGGAGGTCTACCGTACGGGGTTCGAGGTCCATTTAAAGAAATACACAGTCTGGCCTGTCCAAGACGACTATCCAATATCGAGGACGTAAGTGATTAACTTAGAAAGATGGGCTTCTTTGACAGTGGCATTATAAAATATAATAAACGTAAGGAGGAGGTGGAAAATGGCCGTTTGTACTTGATGATTTTCTTGGACAGGTGGTCGCTTGAGACTAAATGTAATACATGCATATCACAAAGTTTAAAAAATAACATTTTCAAATATGTATATTATAAAAGCGTGATCAGAAAATGTTAATGCATTTCTTTGATAAAGGTATACGTTGTTTGATAAAACTGTCACATGTATGCCGAAGGCACTCAACTGTACAAATATTCTTTACTACCGGTATCGGATGTTGATTCATTAATTTTAATTGTGGCCGTTAGCATAGAAAACATCAAAGCAAGGATGTTCGACAACAAATTAAAGCGTGACAAAAAGAAAATAGATCAATTATTATGTAATTCGAAATGTTGTACAGCTGCTGTTGAGGAAAAGTACATGAGTACTATAAGTTAAAATGAAAGGATATCATTTACTCGCAATCGAAAAATATGGATTTTAAACTTTCAAAGGATGATCACATTTTTTTAAAATGTTAAATGCCTCACAGAGAATTAAGCAGAATTAATTGGTTCGTTGTCTGTGTGCTTAAATAAAAACTGTCACTTCATCTTATTGTGTGTTTTCCCGCATGTATTATATTGCAACTCTCTCTTTGCAAACCTCCTGAACATCACCATTTTGAACGGACAGCGCTTTTAAAGATCAAGAAGTGAGAATCGTCTCTAAAAAGAGGAGAAGCTATCACAATCCCTGCTTTTTAAAGAAACTTTTTTGGCTTCCAACAGCACCGAGAATTACCTTAAAGATTGCCGTCCTTTGCCATAAATGTGTTAACAATAAAGACCCCTTGTTTAAGCAGCTTTATTCAAAGGTCATCTCATGAAGGGTCGTAACTGCATTTTTGGGCATTTTGAGTTATTTATACCACGCCGATCAGCGTGATGAGATCCGTTTTCTCTCAAAGCGAAAAGGTGCTATCTCTACTAGTTTTTGAATTATAAGATATCCGAGTTATGTCGTATTGTAAAATCAGGAGGTTTTCAATGTCATGAAGAGTCGTATCGTATCATACGTCACTTCGTGAGATACAATAACAATATACTGTTCTCTCAGTATCGGTCATTGCCAATCTCACGAAGGGACGTATCTCTATCAACAGTATATTGACACTTTCATAGCCATTGACATTTGGCCTCTTGCAGCCCTTAAACTTGCAAATGAGCAATCTGGCATGAGGCAGTGGAAGTTCATGCCGCCATTACGCACGTAGTCTTGAAACTTGTTGAGAGAAACTGCGATTTCTGCTGAAGCTCCTTAAAAAATGAGTGCCTTTTGGCTGAAGTTATCTCTAAATGCCAGGGTGCTACTGCTAAGGAGTCTTTTGGGTTTGGCAATTCTGACACTGATCCATCATTTCAACCGGGGCTGTGTGAAACTAGGCGTTGTAAAGAGGAAGTTTTTTTAGCATGTGATAGGTGTGATGCTCTTTTATGATATGATCGTTTTGTGGAGGACACAAATGTGTGTGATCATGACAATAGGAAGAAAACAGAATTGAACAAGAAAAAGAGGAAAAGAAAGCAGTGAAAGAAAATAGAAAGGTGCCTGAATCCAGTGAACAACCAAAACATTTCGTTCTTGAAGGCTCACCAAAAGAAATTGCTGTTGAAAAGCAGCCACGAATCAAAAAGCAAAAGGCAGCCAAGAGAAAATTGGCTTCAGTTGAAGATTATTTCAGCCCTTATACAAAGAAACTATGCCTGTGAAGAACATGGGGGAAGCCTGCTTAAGTGTAACGTGCAAGAATAGAGAACTAGAGTGTGATACAATCACAGAGCCACTGAGGAAAGACAATTTCCAATAATTCTATTTACTTGCAAGCCTCCAACTTCAACGTGAGTTTATTCTGCCCCATATAGTGAACAGTGACAAGAAGAAGGAAAGCTCACACCAAAGTCGGCGCCAGAAGACCAATGTATAGTACCTGACTGCTCAAGGAAGCCGTGTTAAAGTTTGCAAAAAACTCTTTTGAACACTTTAGCCATATAAGACAGAACAGTGAGAACAGCCTTCAAGAAACTGACACCCAGTGGAACAATAGAGAAAGAAAGAAGAGGTGGTCGGCAGTCAGCAAAAATTGTTGAAAGAGACACAAGAATTCGATATGACATTGAAGCTTCGAAGAGCACCTGCGGCGGTTCCCAAGGATGGAATCACATTATTGCCGTGCAAGCCCTGCAAAGGAGTATCTGCACCCAGACCTGAACCTTTAAAAAATGTACTCCATGTTTGTAGAGCAGTAACATGGGACTGACCCTCCAGTTTTCAGTACGTACCGCCGAGTGTTAAAAAAACCCAACTTGGCTTTCCACGCACCCAAAAAGAACCAATGCTCACTGTGCACAACGTTCTTTGAAGGGGATGAAACAACAAAGGCTGAACTCAAGACGCATTTGAGAAACATGTCTCTGAAAAGAAAAGAGTAAGAGAAATAAAGGAGGAATGCAAGCAAAGGGCATCAAAGGATGGAACAGTTCTGATTGCTACATTCGATCTGCAGCAAGTAATATATCTTCCCATCTTGAATGAAAGTGCTTTGTTTTACAAGCGGAGCTTCTCCAACTATAACATGACTTTTTATAACCTTGGAAATGCTGACTGCCACTACTTCCTGTGGAATGAAAGCCAAACCAAGCGTAGAAGCTCAGAAATATCCACAGCTGTGTTCGAAGCGCTTCAGCACTATGACAGATGTGGAAAAAAGATAGCATACCTCTTTTTTGGATGGCTGCCCGGGGCAGAACAAAAACACTATCATTCCAACAATGTTGCTACACGCTGTGAACACGCTTCCAAATCTCAGAGAGATCTCCCAGCGGTTCTTTGTGACAAACTACGGCCAAAATGAGGGGGGCTCTGTTCATAGCACTATCTCCTCTGCGATGTCTGCAGCTGGGAACATCTATGTACCAACAGAGCTGACACCCATATTCAGACTTGCCAGAGCAAAGCAGCCGTGATACCACTTGAGTTCTCTGACTTCTGAAATTCCAAGCAACTATCACTCGTGTTCTGGGAGTTCAAAGAGATTCAGAGAATGACACTATCAACTAAAACAAAAAGATGGTGTTCAGAGTTCTGAAGGAGTGCCCAACAACAATATTCTTCAAAACCAGCCGTATTGAGTCAGAGTACAGAACAATCCAATTGAAGAGACACACAAAGCAAATCACTGAGAGTTTCACTCTCTTCAAACTCAGTACAGAACCTACCAAAGTTCCAATGGATAAATACAATGACTTAGTGTCGCTCTGCTCTGGCGTAACGCCCGTGATAAGCCAAGCTGATTACAAGGCTTTCTACTTTGCACTCCCCCATAAAATTTGACTGAGATATTCTTGGATACTCATAGTGTTACTTGCTGATACATCTACATAATGCGAATTGCTGTCTAACATGGTTACAGTTCAAATGAGCAAAAAAAGCTCCAAAACATGTCTTTATTTGTTCAAATTTTCTTCAATAAACTGTGAAAATCATAGTGAGATCTCATGTTTTTATGCCATTGTGATTTGATTCTTTCATTTTGCGTATTATGAAACAAAAATTAGAAACACAGTGTTTTTCCTTCCTGCAATACAAAGTAAATGTAATGATACGACACTTGGTGGGATATCCATTGATGATGGGAACGATGAATGTATATATCACGAAGTGACGAATCGAATTTTCTGCCGATTTTCTCACAAGAATGATACAATACTGCCGAAAACAGCATGTGGAGTGAAAATGTACCACTCAAAGAAGCTTTGATCCAAACTGCATAGATTCCAGTCTTCCGGATTCGACGCCAGAGCAAAAACAAAAGTGCCCAAAACTTTAAACCTCTCTCCTGCAAAACACTATAACCAGGTCCACTTAAATTTATCCTCAAAGCAAGTCCACTAAAGCAAGAGACAAGCTTCAGATTCCGATAAGCCTTCTGAAGATAGTAATGGTGAGCTGCTCTCATTACGACTTCGTGAGATGACCGACGAAATGTATATTCCACCAAGAACTATAAGATCAGGAGCTCAGTTTCTTACATGCATACATCCACACACAAAAAATGAGGAAAAAAGTTTAAATGCACAAAATGTGGCAAACTATTTTACTGACAGAATGGTCTCATTTGCCGAGGCTAGGAAGCCATAAGTCATCTGAATCCTTACCGGGTTTTTCTTCACACATAGGAAACACACCAAAACGAACTACTGTATTTTTTTTATCATTATAAGAGTACAATGGTCAATGTACAAAGTATAGACATCACAAGGCTGACTTACGTTCGTCAAAAGTTGGCGTGACAGTGTTGTCGTAGTCTGTCAACAAGGCGTTCACGAACATGGTCCTGAGGGGGAAACCAGACAAATGGGTTTTTTTTTCATTTCAATTTTTTTTTAGCTGCCTTAAGGATAAATTTAAGTGGTACTGTTTATTAACAGATTCATTATAATACATGTTTTACGTCCATTGAAGCAATTCAGGTACGACTACTTCGATTCTGACTCCCGACGCCAACAAGAGATGAGTATAAGTAGACTATACAGCAACCCAATGGAAAGGAGGAAAAGGTTGATAGAGTGGACTTGATCTTTGGGGGATCGAAGTCATGTCTCGTGCATGCAACGGCTAAGAGCCTAACTTCTTTATCACAGACGCTGAATAAGAGCCTATCTGTGTGGGTTGTGATTGAAAAAGAAGGGAGGGGGGATATTGTACAATTAACAAAAGCAACATATCCATTTGACAATATATTATTACGCCGAACGTGCATCTTGAGTGAGATAAAAACGATTTGGACAAGCGGACAAACGAATGCACGTGGTCAGAGAAATACTCAAAACAACATTTTGACAGACAGACACACAAACAATAGGACTGACGAAAAAAACAAACTGGATAGATAGACGCACATACACCAGAATAGACAAAGAAAGTTAAATGTATGCTACAAGGCACTTTAAAACAGGGGGGGGGGGACAATAAAAGAACAATAAATTTTAATGCAAAGGGCACCGTAAGTGGAAGACACAGACAAGTAGAGAGAGTTATAAGTCAAATCACTGGCGATTACCTTCACCAACAGACTTACGCACTGACAAATACACAGATAACCAACCTAGAAAAGGAAACGCAGATAGACACACAGATAACCGATCAAGAAACTGGCACACTGACAGATACACAGACGGATTAACAGGTGGTTAAAACTGAGAAGACTTACACTCTGACAGACACACAGATGAACAAGCAGGAGGCGAACACAGTGGTAGACATACTGACAGACCTACATGAGATCACTGAGGAGACGGACACACAGACAGACAAACAGATAATGAACAACCAAGAGGTGAACACAGTGACGTACACACTGACAGACCCCCAGGTGGTCAACACGAATGAGACGGACATACCGAGCGACACACAAGAACAAACAACATATTTTCAACAAAGATATATGGGCACCTGGTAACCACTGAAGGTTGTTGACCCCAGCTGGGCTTGACCACTGTCCACAACACCAGAAACAACACGCCGGTCAATGAGGCCATCTGTGGACGGATGCACAGGCAAAATCAAAATACACACTGGTAAACATACCAAACCAAACATCTGTAGACGCACATACAGATAAAGCACACACTGGTAAACATACCAGACCAAACAGCCTTAAAAGCACACACAGATAAAATACACACATGTAAACGTACAAGACTAGTAATCAGTGGATGGATCCACAGTCAAAATACACACTAGTGAACACACCTGACTTGTTGCCCGTAGACGTCGCTGTTAAAGTACTTTTTAAAAAGTACTTAAGAACAAATTTAAGTACAATCTAAAAAAATGTACTTAAATACAGTAAAAGTACTTTCCTGTAAAATGTACTTGAGTACAAGTACTTTTTAAAAAAGTACTTATGAGTACATTTTGAGTACTTTCTGCTAATATGCTAAAACACTTCAGCGCTTATGCAAAACATCTTATTGAATAACATATCCAGTAAACTTGACAAATTAGGCTATTTATTACTAAAAATGTAAACAGTATACAAAACATTTGAATATACTATGTACGCACTGAACGAAGGTGGAAATGGTCCGTGAAATTGAAAAAAGAAAACCCCAAACAAACTGACGCAACTAGTGGGTAAGTGATATTATGAATAGAAAATGTTTGAGCAAGACAATGTGATCAAATCTAAGTCAGTCCAAAAGGTCGGAAAGTTCTACCGAAAAAGTATCCAAATTGGAAAATGTAGATACAAAGTTGCTCTTAAGAAAACATAAAATTGATGAAAATGGCCAGCATAGAAATTTATGGAAAAGTGCATTGAATTCTTCATTAACAAATCCTCAAGGAATCAAAGTAGCCTTAAGCAAAAACCACCAAAAAAAAGTTTTAAAAAGAAATTTAGGTAGCCTCAAAAATTGTTACATACATTGAGAACACAGTTTCAGTTTCAATTGATTATAGTGGTAAGACAGATTTCGGTAACACTGTGTAGTCCACGGCGCCCAAGGCAAACCAAAATACAATAGTTTCCTAGAGTTTAGTAAGTGTAGTGTGACCAAAGATTCTCTACTACAGTAGTCTCCGCCTAAGACCCCAGTGCTCGGAAGCAAGAGAAATATGGGATCTCAGCCGACGAAGCCACGGAAGAATCTACAATGACCCATGAACTGACGTGACCCCTGGGTGGATTTATGACATATGGCGAGCAAATAGTGGTCAACCTTGATGACCAACCACAGTGGCATATTATATTATAATATACACACTCATTAGCCTATCGTGAGTCTTGAGATCTTTATCTACGTTTATCCAGTTGCCCCTCCCCTTCACCTGTCCTACAATTTTAGCTTTCCATCTATGATTGAGTCCCCCCCCCCCCCCCAAACCGCCTTTACTTTGTCTTTACGCATCATTGCGTTGTGGTCACACCAATTAAAATTAAGGCTGTCTCGCAAATTCGGGAATAGAGAAAAACTGCTTTCAATGATCAGGGAAGAGTTCACAGTTTGATGTGATCTCGCCTGAAGCGAACGTGTAGGCCCTACCCACCCAGTGAGTGATGTAAGTTTAGGTGGTGAGCTCAGATGCGAGTGCGGTGTTTGGGGAAAAGAAACGCATCGGTCAGTTCACACCTTGGTGTGATCCCGTCTGGAGCAAACACTGTACCGTTTCATCGAGTTTTACAACGCTTGTGATCACATTCACGATAGTGGCTGATCTTTGACTCGACGGGCCGTTCTTTGATCTCAACTTTTAACTCTTGGTTGATCGGCTGTGCCCGCCCGGGTGTTTGTTCCGTAAATTATGATCAGAAATGCCGGCACTTTCCATTTCATTAAGCTTCAAAAGTACTGAAAATGTACTTTAAAAGTGCTCAAAAGTACTTTTATAAAAAGTATCGGAGTACAGTAAAAGTACTGGTTTCAAAAATGTACCGGAGTACAGTAAAAGTACCGAAAATTGTAACGTAAGTACAAGTACCGGAGTACTTGTGCTCCGTTACAACCAGCTCTGTATATAATAATTATACAGATAAAATACACACCAGTAAACATACTGGAAAAGTTTATGCATGTGTTTTCATTTGCTGTAATTCATTGCCATAATTAAATTACTTCTAGATCGATTGGTTAAGTTTGCTACGTATGACAATACGGTCACATAATATTCTAAGAGCGTCCGAGCAAAGAAATGGGAGGAGAACCATGATCGCCGATGTCTGCCACATATTATGATGGTGATTTTAGTGCGTTTGACCAATTACGTACCATTTGACTGGCATGGCATGTGATTATGAGCTCTGGTGTGTTAACATCTATCTGGCAGTCGAATATCAAATATGACTGTACTAACATGGTCGTAACTTTATCAAGCGGCGGCAACAGACTATCGATAACTTTTACCATATTCTATTACTCCACAGTAAAGATGATTTGGTGTTTCGGAAGATCGAATTAGGAAATGGATATCAAAATCAAGATCACCATCATTATCATCATCATGATCATCAGCATCATCACCGAAATAATAAATGCATTGAAATGTATGGCTTTGCGAAAATTGCCGCTCAACACCAAAATTACTCTATGCTCGTTACAATGTATATTACCGGGTGGTTATAAAAAAGACCTATGTAAATGGCTTTCAACAAAAATTTTGTACAGTTCAGGTTCGATCAAGGTGTTGTCTAATTCTTCAGCATTAGGAAAACCAATCAATGTGTTTTAAAAAATCAAGCTAATTGATAGTTTCCTTTGTGCATTTTTGAAAGGCAGAGTCAACGCAAACAGCCCACAAACATTGAGTTTCGGTTTTGAAAAACTGAGTCTACGGAAACAACCCACAAACATTCGAACAATAATTGAAACTCTTTGTAAAGCAGGATGTACGAAGAATCCACTCAGAAAAATGCCACAGGGTTATATAGCAATTTTAGAAACATAATAACATTTACTCTTGTCTGGAGATAACTGGTCAATACTGACAAGATCTTTTGTTCTATCTGACGGTTACCCATTCACACCGGGGAGACGAGAGGAGAATTCGTGTAAAGTGCCTTTCCAAAGGAATAAACATCGGACCAAGCTCAGCCTCAAATCCCCGAGCCCACAACCTCATGCAAACGAATCCAGTAGGCTAATCACTAGACTACTGGTGCCATCATCATCATCATCATCATCAGCAGCAGCAGCAGCAGCAGCAGTAACAGCATGAGCAGCAGCATCACCACCGTCGCCGTCACGGAATGTGAAGCCTGACCTTAAATCAGTATGATGGTCTTCGGAATAGGACTGCTTTCAATTGTCTTTTTTTGAAAAACAGTTAACACCTCCGTTGCCCTCTGAAGCGTTGCTGTTTTCCTCAGATACATTTCCAGTGGGCGGCAACATCTATTTTGACTGTATCACTCTCAGCAGCATGTTTCCGGCACAAGAACAAATCGTTTGCTAACTTTTCAGAAAATAATCCCAAAATGTTGAAGACTTTCTTCGTTGCAGTTTCTTAACCTGGGTTGTCTGTTGAATGCCCGATGATAAATATGATGTCGAAGTTTAAATTCTAAATGTGAAAAAATAAAAGAGGTACTTTACTTTTACTTTACTTTTCCAATCCAGCGGCCATCTTTGGCTTGTCGATATGGCAAATGACTTACTGGGTTTTTATAGGTAATAGGCCTACGCAGGTCACTAAGTGCAGAGGGGGGTGGGGTGGTAAAGAGGTGGTGTGCTACTGTTTCATCTCATCCTAGCAGTCACACAGCAGGCAATCAGGTGAGGTATCCTTACGGATCCTTTTTAGGTTGGTATTCAATCGGATATGTTTTGTTTGTGTGTGAAAAATATTGACTAGTTTTCCTCTACTTAGGGGATTTAGAGCATATTTTTAGTTGGGAGCCGTTAAGATAAAATATATAAAATGCAGGTACAATTTATTCTTTATAAAGCAACCGTTCTTTCCTCTTACTTAAATAGTTTTTGCATTCTGAGCTTTTAACAATTGAACAGCTTTCAGACAAACTGCTTTTGTGGTTTGAAACTACAAAAAACGGCATAGAAAAAACTCATAGCCCGTGACTCTAGTGATTTCACACGTGTTTGACAACAGAACTTGCAAGTTAACCATCAGAGTAGGACAAAGAGACGATAACCCGAAGAGAGTTAACGAACTGGCAATTAAACAACGTTGTAGGACGCACTGTTTAGGGACGCTTTGAAAAGAGAAGGACATTCTCTTTAATAAAGATTTCTTTAAATTCTGTTTCTTTTATCTAAAACTTTAAAAGGCAGACAATGGCATACATATTATTATAAAATACGAAAACCCGTGTTTCTGATTCGTGTAAAAGGTGACCAGAAAAAAAGTTTTTTTCCAAAAGAACGCTGATAAAACCATAATGAATAAAGTTATAAACACCAAAGTTCGAAGAAACGTGAAATATACTTCCTGATTTGTTATGTTATAATAATAATAAAAATAAGACAGCCACAATAAAAATTACGAGATGTTATTACAAGTTGACCAATGCACATTCTGACACGCTGAATGAAACTGAACATCACGGGATCACACTCACACTCCTCAAGAGGTATCTCTCTCGTGCCTTCCGTGGCGGCTTATATCAAGTCCTACTTTCCAAGGTTTTCCCACACACTTTATTCTTTAAATACCCCCAAAAATCAATACCCAGTGTGGTCAGGTCCAGACTTTTCGGGATCAACTTGTGCTACGGAATGTTGATTTCCATAGAGAAAAAAAGGCCCGATGATGCCCAGATACCTCAACGCTGTCAACTCTGTAACCTTCTGGTCATCCAGGCCTGTTTCGTAAACTTTACCAGGTTTTGCTGATTCCAAGTAAACGTAGTTTTAGCTATTTCCATAACCGTTGGCCTCATCAGAGAATCAGAGCTGCTGGATAAATGTTTCATCTTTATTTGTAAGGTAGCTAAAGTACCAACGACACTTGTCCACTCTGGCATCCGCGTTTGTTTCTGTGAGTCGTGTGAGAATTTGTTGTTTTTTGTGCGTCTTTAGAC